CCCCAAAACCCCAAAACCCCAAAACCCCATGTGATTAATGGACAGAATAAAAAAGTTATAAAAAATTTCAACTTTGTTTGTTTCTGATATATATATAAAAACTTTAATGAATTATATTTTAAATATTAATGATAATTAAGCAATAAAGTAACAACTAAGTAGATATGGACTAAGCTTACAAAAAATCTTAGCTAGTCAAGGGTATTCAAAGAGTTGCTAATGAGGAGAGAGACACTGATTAGTATATTACAAGCAGAAGGAACAGTCAAGCTTAATCTCAAAAGTATTTGAATTTTCATAATAATACAACTACCCGCAAAAGAAATCAAGAAGATGAGAGAGGCGGTGGTGTTGTCAAAAGTAAAAAACTATTTAAACAGGAAATCAGGAAAAGCTATTAGAGCATTGATGAAGAGAGCGAGCACTAAGTGGTAATATACACTAGATTTTTACATGTTTAATTAGGCCAGAAAATTATTCAGTCAGTGAAAGAGTTAAATTATGTAATTTGCAAGTGTCAACTCTAAAAATGATCCTTAAAGTGATTAAAGACAAGATTAAACATTAGACTAAAATAGCATTAAATCAGAGGATCCTATAGGATCAATTATAAGTTCTAATATAAGAGCTGACATTCAGAGGCAAGGTTAGAGACCTAAGCAAAAGCGATCTTCTAAGAACAATCATCAAAATAGTAGTGGAGAAATAACCAGAAAATACTAGAACTCTAAATCCAATAAATAGGTAGGCGGTGCTTCTGCGATAATTATTAATGATAATATTATTAATAACACAAATATAAACACCTCTATAAAAGTTACTGATAAAAGCCAAAGTATTAGATCAAGTAAATCCTAGTAAATGATTATAGGCACTTTTAAATAAGCTAAACTATCTAATTAAGAAGATTACTCATCTAAAAATGATGGAAAAAATAACTTAAACTCTAATTATCCTGAAACAAAACTATTTAGTCCATTAGTAAAAGCAAGCTAGCAAATAGTTATGATAAAATCAGAATTCAAGGAAAAACCGATCCGTTCAAAAGAGCATTTGAGATTTGATTATCCATTATCTAGAGATGATACTCCAAATTAAAGAATAAACAATAGTCATAATAACATTAAGAGACTCTAGATAAATTAGGTGATTTCACCTTCAAGTGTTATCGAAAAATATTAACCACCTTAATCTGCTAGAGAGGGTTTAATGTCTAAGCATCAGTAAAGGCCTTCAAAAGAATTTCCTATAAAAGACACTGCTGAGGAATTCAGTTAGACAAGGAAGACAAATAGAAATTGTGACCTGGAAGAGACCTAAAATCTAACAAGCAGTAAAAAGATTTTTTCAATGATCGTTAATGAAAAACTTTTAAATAGTACAAATTAAAATGCCAAAAAAGAGGAAATATCTAGAATATCATCGATGCCATTTGGGAAGTAAATAAGCTCAAGATTTGGATCATTGTTTAAGTTGCAGAAGAAAAATTTATTGGATGAGGAAGTATTGGCATTGGATGAAAATAATCTTAATAATAGTGGGAATTCCTTAAAGAAGAAATATTAAAAGAGTAAAGAGAGTTCATTTGATATCTAGAGTGAGCATGAAAGTGATCACGAGCTCTTCTCTTAGAAGTAATAAGATAGTAAAGAATATTTACGCGCTAAATCTAGGCAAAAAGCTTCAAGAGGTTCATCTCCAAAAAGAGAAGCAAGTTTACACAGACCATAAAAGTAAGAAGATTTTAGGAAATCAGGGTTTAAAATCAAACCTTAGATTTAATATGATGTACAAAGATAAAGAATGAAATCTTAGAGATCAAAATCTCCAATTGATGATACACTATATTAAAAGAGAAAGCATATAATGTCTTATGATGAAAATTCACTTGAGCGAGAATTAATCGAAAAACTCAATGAAGAAAGTGAGATTACAGTTGATCCTCAATAATAAAAGCATAGGGGAAAATCGCAACTAAAGCAAAGAGGGCAATCAAATTTAAGACAAAGTCAACGAAAATCTAGAACCCAGCATCGTAAAAAAAATTAAAGCAGAATGAAACAAAAATCTTACGATAGTGAAGATCCAAGCAACAGTTCCAGAGATAGTAGTTCAGATGATGATTTTTCTGAATCTAGTGACTACAATAACAGAAGATCTACATTTCAACCTGAAGATTTAAGAAGAAGGAGTCAATAAAAGAGGAATAAAAGCTCTAGATAAAAGAAACGTTAAAGTCTTAAAAAATAATAGAAGGGGGGATCTAAAACTAATCAAATGCCGTTATAAATGCCATAAGTAAATATGATGATTCCACCCTAATTCAATATGTTTGGATTCCAAATGCCTATGATGCCCTCTTCAACTCAGCTGATGAATTTTCCCAATATGATGTAATATCCTGGCTCACAGATTCCATACATGATGCAGCAGTAATAGTAATAATAATAGCAGTAATAGTATTATAACATGCTCTATGGATAAATCCAATAATAGATGCAATAAAACTTTTTCCAATAATAACCATAAACTTAAACTACACAGCCAGATGAGTAGAAATCTGCAACTCCCAAGAAAAATATTAATACTGAAGAAAAATCAAAGAAAAACATGAAGAGCCAAGATAGATCGACAACAAGCAACGCTCGAGGGAAGGATAATGCTCAAAATACAATCATTAATACATTTAACTAATCAAATATTCTTAGACAAGAACATCCACCCTTAATATGTTCAAACACCATAATAAATACTTGGATTGAATAAAAGAATTCAAACAACAATGAGTCTAATCAATTTCCTTTCAATGTTAATATTTAAAATTCGACAACAAACCAATCATTTTAGCCAAACAGCAATTTCAATTAAATCAACAACCTTGACGCCTAGAATAAGTCTTAGTATCTTGGACAAAGTATTTCCTAAAATGGTACAGCTCGTGCAACTTAAGACTTTATCCCGAATAAATCTGTCAATTAGAATGATTCAGCCTTCCTAAAACTTAATAAGATGCAGAATACTTTCAGCAACTAAACTCTAGAATCTATAGATCAAGATTTCAAGTTCGGTTAGATATAAAACCTACAAAATCAGAGTAAGCAAATCTCAGAGGAGCCTGGAAGCTCAAATAAGATCCAACATCATAGACTAGGGTCTCCTCAGAGTAATGTGTCTAGATTAGATGTTTAATCAACCAATAATACAGGTGATTATGTCTCTAGTTTAGCTCCTAGTTAGCAAGCTATACTTGGCCTTTAAAATCGAAGATCAATCAATATTCAAAGCTAGATTAAGGAGGTAAACTAGATGTATCTAAATAAGCTTAAAGATAAATACTAAAAAGTTAATTTAAATGATGAATCACTGACAGTAAGTGTTAATAACCATTAAGATAAAAATGAAAGATCAAGCGAGTTTATACTAAGCCCAAGAATGACTTCAAGAAACTAAATTGGACTGACTCATAATAATTCAACTCCTATTAAAGATCTTATCACGGAATAGAAAATTTAAACATCAGTTTAGACATCATAAGCAGATAGAGAATCTATTCTTCTAATGACTAAATAAAGTTCAGTTTTTAAAGAAAAAAGATTATCAAGCATACAGCCCTCTGAGTTGACTAAACATCAATATCCATAGTATTATGATACTAACTAAGATACCTTGTAAAGTGATGCTTTTCAATAGAATTTCTAAATAGAACGACATCGCAGTCCTTAGCCAAAGGAATTTAAGATGTTTTAGTATGAAAATCCTAAGCAAGATGATATACAATTAAAGCTTAGAGTATTAAATCAAAAATTATCTTAATCTAGGCAGACAAGCATTAGGAGTAAACCAATAAAAGAAGCGGCTGTAGACCTTGAATCAAACTATGATGAAAACTATAGTCATATTGAGTAGAAGCTATAGTAATTAAAAGACAAAAAATTTAGAAGGGAAGATAACTATGAGAGATCTATAGATTCAAGACATTCCCAATCTCAATCTATCTAGGATAGAAAAACAATTGATTAAAACAGATAAAGCAGGTAACCTAATCAAGCATCTTAAATCAATCCAATTAAGTAGTAATCAATTAATTCTTCTATTGTGTAAACGAAACAGATAAAGATAAATGTTGATCACCATAATAACAAGATTGAGGATCAAATATTCAATTATAATGATGATTAGCTAAGTACTAAACCTGGATTGATAATAATAGAGACCTCTCCTTAGTCAAACAGAAGTTAAAATAAGATATTCAATAAATTTTAAAATCAAATAAAGAGCCCCAGAATATTCAAAGATCAGTAGTAATTTAACAATATAAAAACTGAGGGAAATGGTTCAGAATCTATGAGATCATCTATGGTAACTATGGAAAATGAGAGATAATCATAGCATGCATATTATGAGAAAAATACAAATAAAAAGAAGTATCTAAATAGCAGTGTGCAATAGAATATGAGAAAAGGCACTAATAAAAATCCAACCTCAACTAACAATAATAATCCCTATAATAACGCTAATAAAATCTTAGATTTTAATCAGAAAAATATGACTTTCTGCCAGGAAGAGATAAAAAATAGTAATATTAGTAGTACTAACAGTAATTACAAAAATAGGCAGAGCATATCTTCTAACGGTAATATTAAACTTCTTTAGATGACTAAATCAATTGACAGAAGAGATGAAAAAGAAGCAATTATTGAAATTTTCGATAAGCCTAAGCATAAAAACCAAACAATGTCAATGTCAGTTGATACTAGAGACAAAAATAGAAAATAATCTAATAGTGAAGCTCTATCGCTTGCTGAAATATTTAAATAGAAAATGGGAAGTAAAGCTACTTAACTAAATAATGAAAGGAGGTTCAATTAGAGTCAATAATAGAATATTCAAATGCCTGTAATTTAGGAGAAAGAATCGAAGCATGAAAAGGAAAAGGAGAGAAGCAAATAAGAAATATTAGAGCTAAGGCGTAAAATGATGAAATCAAACGTTAAGGAAAAGAAAGACAATTTTAACCCTGACTAATCAAAAGATCCCTCACTGAAAAGTAAGGACATGCCTTATGATTTGATGCAAAGACTGTCTAAAGGTATGAAAATACAACTAGACTCTAAAGAAATGGTTAAATTAAGTCACAAAAACTATGATAACTTACCTGAGGTAAAGAGGAAGAAGGAAGAGGAAAGGAAAAAAGAAGATTATAAATAAAGATAGCAAATTGTGAAAAAGTATGCTGAGGAGTTGGAGAAAAAGCGTAAATAAATTCATTTGAAGAAATAGGCTAGTTCAAATAGTGATGCTTTTTGAAAAATGTATAAATCAAGGCTTAAAGTTTAAGTTAGTTATAAAAGGCTAAGCCGCAATTTTAAAAGTAATATTTTACCCACACTCTCATTTAACTTTAATTAGTATTAAGAAGTTTCTTGTTATTTCTTTTATTTTAGTACTATGAAAATCAACATTGTAGTTACTCTCGGGGTTTTGGGGTTTTGGGGTTTTGGGG